AAAGCCAAAAAGAAAAAGAAAAAAGGAAACATCACACTTCTTTCACCGGGTCTTGGTTGAATGGGGAAATACTGGGGTTGGTGCTGTTGCTTTCCAGCACGGAGGTCGGAAACAACAGCACTGGGGCTTCCGGTCAAAGGTCATGATTATATACTGGGGTTGGTACTGTTGGCTTCCGGCATGGATGTCGGAAACAACAGCAATCGTGACTGGAAACACGGGGGCTTCCAGTCCTTGAGAACTGGGGATGGATCCAGCTGTAACACTCAGCTGGAGTAACTGGGGTTGGTGTTATTGCATTCCGACTGGAGTGTCGGAAACAACAACAATCGTGACCGGAAAGCATAGGGGCTTCTGGTCCTTGAGAACTGGGAATCCGGCTGAGGCAACTGAACTCAGCTGGAGTAACTGGGGTTGGTTGAATGCTGGGGGATGGGGTTGGTGTTATTGCATTCCGGCACGGACGTCGGAAACAACAACAACAACAACAACAACAACGTCGTGACCGGAATCTGCTTCCGGTCCGGAAAATACTGGAACTGCTTGGAGATGCCGGGGAATCATCTGTAAAACTGAGTATGATGTATAATGTAGCGTACTCCAGACAGTGTTCTTCACTAGGTCTTGATTTGAAGTTATTGCATTCCGGCACAAATGCCAGAAACAACAACATCAACATCTTGACCGGAATCTTCTTCCGGTCCGTAAAATACTGGAAAATGAACTGTATGGAGATGCTGGGGAATCTGCTTGAAATTGAGTATGATATAGCATATACTCCAGGCTTGTTCTTGACTAGGTCTTAGTTGAATACTGGGGGATGGGGGTTGGTGTTATGGCTTTCCGGCACGGATGCCGGAAACAATAAMAACAACRTYGTGACCGGAATCTTCTTCCGGTCCGGAAAATACTGGAACTGCATGGAGATGCTGGGGGATCTTCTTTAAACTTAGTAGGATGTAGCATACACTCCAGACTTGTTCTTCACTATGTCATGGTTGAATACTGGGGGCTGGGGTTGGTGTGATTGCATTCCGACACAAATGCCGGAAACAACAACATCAACATCTTGACCGGACTCTTCTTCCGGTCCGTAAATTACTGGAACTGCATGGAGATGCTGGGAATCTTCTTTAAACTGAGTAGGATGTAGCATATACTCCAGGCTTGTTCTTCACTAGGTCKTGGTTGAATACTGGGGGCTGGGGTTGGTGTGATTGCATTCCGACACGAATGCCGGAAACAACAACACCAACATCTTGACCGGAATCTTCTTCCGGTCCGTAAATTACTGGAACTGCATGGAGATGCTGGGAATCTTCTGTAAACTGAGTAGGATGGAGCAAATACTCTAGGCTTGGTCTTCACTAGGTCGTGGTTAAATACTGGGGGCTGGGGTTGTTGTTATTGCTTTCCGGCACGGATGCCGGAAACAACAACAACAACGTCGTGACCGGAATCTTCTTCCGGTCCGTAAATACTGGAAAATGAACTGCATGGAGATGCCGGGGAATCTGCTTGAAACTGAGTATGATGTAGCATATACTCCAGGCTTGTTCTTCACGAGATCTGAGTTGAATACTGGGGGATGGGGTTGGTGTTATTGTATTCCGACGCAAATGCCGGAAACAACAACATCAACATCGTGACCGGAATCTTCTTCCGGTCCGGAAATTACTGGAACTGCATGGAGATGCTGGGAATCTGCTTTAAACTGAGTAGGATGGAGCATATACTCCAGGCTTGGTCTTCACTGGGTCTTGGTTGAATACTGGGGGCTGGGGTTGTTGTTATTGCTCGCCGGCACGGATGCCGGAAACAACTTCAACACCGGAAGATACCACTCGTCGGTGCTTCTGGAGGAACAGGGGATCCAGCTGGGGCAAACTACCACCACCAGCTGGTGGATATCGATATAGTACTTGGAAGAGGCTTGGTTACATTGCTTGGATCCTTGTGGATTGGAGCCAAGGAGGAGGATTCTCCCCTTCCGAAGGGGATGTCACCATGGTTCGGAAGTCAGAAGGAGTCTGTCAGGTAGGAATGTACGTAGGAATCAGTAGGAATTCTGGGTGATAATTTTCATAAGCGAAGTGTAATTTCGTGCGTTTGAAAATATTCGATGTGAAAATTATGATAATGACATGTCACACCCGCGTACAGTGGGTGCTCTAGCACTGCGACCAACTGGGAATGCACAAGGCGGTCACTATTTCTACAGCCTTGAGACTGGACAAGTGCTGAACAGGACCACTTGCACAAGGATGCCGATGCCAAATGAAGTGATTGACCGAGTACATGAACTAGCAAGAAACTACCCCAACGGGTTGATCTTCTGTGACCATAATGGGATGCCGATGCCGGAGGAGCTGGAAGGAGCTGCAGAGGATGAGGTTGATTCATCCACATAAGTGGATGAGAAGGAGCCGGATGATTAGTTCCATGAGTCAGACTACAATGATGAAGGGAGTGCTGACAATGACACAGCTGAGGAGGAAGATGAGAGCGGCATTGAGCCCGCTGCAGAGCCTGCAGGAGTAGAAGATGGCAGCGGTTTTGGGCCCGTTGTGGAGCCTGCGGGAATAGAAGATGAAATGGAAGAACCAGGAGGCGATGTGGAAGCCCCTGATGAACTCCCAGAGGATCAAGATAAGGAGGAGGGATATAACCTGGGAAAGAATTGTGATTGATTGTACCGACACTTAAAAACAGTCAGCTATGTTAACGTAACAAGAGGTCACAGTAACATAAGAGATATGGCCAAGTATGCCATGGTAATACATGCCATGATTGAGTTTAACAAGTCAGAGGATACATTCTACCGTGAGATCAATGAGATCATAATGACCCAATATGGAGTGCAAGCCGGGCTGAAGCTATTTTGTCAGCGAGGTCTTGATGCAATCAGGAAGGAGCTCAAGCAGTTTCACGAACAAGAAGTGGCAAAGCCGGTCAGTGCTGAGGGGCTAACAGAGAAACAGAAAACAAGGGCATTGGCCTATTTGATGTTCCTAAAGGAGAAGTGGAGTGGTGACATAAAAGGGAGAGGCTGTGCAGACAGCAGGAAGCAACATGACTGGATGTCGAAGGAGGACACAACTTCCCCTACTGTATCAATACAGGCCCTTATGTTGTCATGTATGATCAATGCCTATGAAAAAAGGAATGTGGCAACAGCGGACATACCCAAAGCTTTCCTACAGACCAAGGATGACAGTGGAAACACCCATCTTTTACTGGATGGGGTAATGCTTGATTTGCTGGTTGAAATGCAGCCTGAATTGTATCAAAGGCACATCAAGACAATCGCAAAAGGAAAGAAGGACCTGTATGTTGAGTGCCTAAAGGCAATATATGGCACTCATAATGCAGCACTGCTGTTCTGTATCAAGCTCAGTAATGATCTGAAGACATGGGGATTTGTGGTCAATCCACACGACTGGTGTGTGATGAATAAGACCATAGAAGGAAGTCAGTGCACTATTCTGTGGCACGTGGATGATATAAAAGTATCACACATGTCAGGGATAGGATCCACTATTACTCAACATGGAGGCAAGTGCAATATTCCATACTAATACTGCAAAACTGCTGTTTCTTGCTAAGAGAGCACGGCCAGACATACAGCTACCAGTAGCATTCCTCTGCACAAGGGTGCGACAACCTGACAAGGATGACCTGAAGAAGCTGGACAGGGTGATGAGGTATCTACAAGCAACAATCAGGCTCCCACTCGAGCTTGGGATTGATGGATCAGGCATGCTACAATGGCATGTGGATGCAGCCTTTGCTGTACACAATGACATGCAGAGCCACACTGGAATGACCATGACAATGGGACAGGGCTCGCCTTGCTCAAGTTCATTGAAGCAGAAGCTCAACACCAGGAGCTCTACTGAGGCCAAAATTGTTGGGGTGGATGATGAAATGACCCAGGTGATCTGGACAAGATATTTCCTGGAAGCTCAAGGATTTCCTCTTCGCGACAATATATTATACCAGGACAATCAGAGTGCAATCAAATTGGCTCGTAATGGAAAGAGATCCAGCGGAAAGAGGACAAGGCATATGGACATCCAGTACTTCTTCATAACTGACCGGATTGGTACAGGCGAGATAACCGTGGAATACTGGCCGACTCTTGATATGGTGGCAGATTACTTTACCAAGCCACTACAGGGATTGCTCTTCCGCAAGTTTTGTAACACTGTGCTCAGGATCAATGAAGAGGACATAGGAACGTATCGAAGAATGAAGGTACAGGCAGAGTTAGAGCACAGGAAGCAGGTCCGCGAGGCAAAAGCAGCGGAGGATGATCTTATGAAGCAGCAACAGCAACACCAAACAGCAGCTGCTACAAAATAAGATCACAGGAGTGTGTTGGATAATGGCACCCGGATATACGATGGAGAACCGCAACGGACACCAGCAAACCCCAACCCCTAAGTGAATGATGGTGACGTGTTAAGTGAAAATATGGTAAATAGGATGCATTAGAGAATGAGCAAGTGGCATCAGCCCTGTGACAGAAAATAATCAATGGATGCAATCTAGTGACTCTAGAGTAATTCTCATTCTTTATAATTTTATCCAATTAACAGTGGAGTAGTCGACACTTTAAGACTTTCTGCGTATGATACGGCGTATGAATTCAGCACTGACACGTTTGATCACTCTTCTGACCCCTGAGATTACTTTTGTGCGTGCATTCACAGCCCGATTTCAAAACTGACTCATTCTCTTCGTGACTCGATGGAATCATAATCATAAAAAGTACTAGAACCATGTCGATTTCGATGTTTTTCGAAAAAATTAAATTCTCCGGTCCCCTTTTTTCCATTATGTGATCGGTTTTGATCACAAAAAAATGTGATCAGAAATGATCACAAAATTGATGAATTTCTTGATCACAATTTTTTGTGATCAGTTTTGATCACATTTTTTTCAACGGATTAGAATTACTAATATGTACTTTTATTCTTACATTAAATATTCGATTTATATGATATCAATATATATATATATATATTTATATTCGATTTATATGATATCAATATATATATATAGTCGTTAATGGTCATATTAGTAGCAAGTCGCTTTAATTCTTAATAGGGCTTATTACTATGTTGGTAATACAGGACTGGTGTACTATTAGTAGTAGTACAAACGTGTAAAAATACTGTTATTATTTATATTAGGGTATTAAAATCCTATATAAAAACGGGACTAGTAGAAAATGTACACAAGACAGTTCGAATTTGTGATCAAGATTGATCACAAAAAACTGATCACAAATTTGTTATTTCTGATCACATTTTTTTGTGATCAAAACTGATCACAATTTTCGTTACCCAGAGGGGGATCTGGGAATCTAGTTTTTTTCCAAAAAATTGAAATCGACATGGTTCCTGTCGTCATGACTATCATGTTCAATTCTGAATTCCATGATCGATTTTCGAGAACAGATCGAAATCACAACCTGTGAAATGGTGATAGGCTCTCCCGTTTACGAGTACCAGGTACTCGTACGTCAATAGGTGGTTTGCAATGAAAAATTAGGCTCTTCAGCCCTGGTTACTTTGATTATGTAGTGGTTACTGCCTCATAAGAACGATTTGACAGAACGGAATGTGGCAGGTAGAACATACAAAATGAATTTGATCGATTGAAGTTGATCCGATCATTTTCTCTTTTAATCGTTTCAAATATTGATATCATCTGCTATAATTATATCTAATCGCGATTGTGAATGAACTTTAAACACTCCACCATGCGTTTCGCCCGCTTTTTCGGTGCTCATGTTCGCTTCGGTGCCTTGGTTTGTTTCGGTGCCTTGGTTCGTTTCGGTGCTTTTGTCTTTTTGGGACTCTTGGTCGGTTGGTAAAAAGCTTCACACCAGAGACTGGTCAACGAATCTGAACAATCAAATTCATAAATAAACTCCATCGAAATTTCTTCAGGCTTGCCGCAAAAGGGACCTCTGGCATTCAACCTACCGCACCCAGTGGCTTTGATCCAGTCGAATACACCACTGATTCGTGCAAAAACAGCATCTCTGCATTGGGGCCACCAACCCCAGCTGGTGAGACCGTATTGTATGTCGACAAAGGACCCATCACCAAGACCGACTCTTTTTACAAGTGGACCACCTGAGTCGCCGCGACAGGTTGTCTTTCCATTCATTTCGTCGAAATCTGCACACAATGTCAGTTCCGGATCAATTACATGTTTTTGATACGGCCCTTTTGAATGTATTTCTTTGCAGACCTCATGGCTTCTTGTTGGGAAAGTGACATTTTGCAAAGTCTCAGGGAAAATAGGATCAAAGGGGTGTATTGCCCCAAGTCCTACGCCAATAACCTCTGTCCCAACAGCTGGAGCATGTGGATCCTCGTTAAGTTCGAGCGTGACAAATGATTGGTCGATCGTTACAGGGTAATTGAGCTTACAGAGAGCGATATCATAAACGAACTTTTCATCGTCCCAGAGTGGATGGGGGATCCATGCTGCACAATAACGAACCTGCGAGCCCTCCGGTGGGCGATTAGGATGAACAAAGGGTCCGTAGGCCCCAATAGCAACAGGCATCCCCACATTCCAGGGGCGGTCTGGTTCATGGAACCCATAGTTACAATGTGCTGCAGATAGGACGAGATCGGGTGCAATGAGCGTGCCACCGCAGGAGGCCATTTTCGGTTCGACGATGTCCGTGAAAGTTGTAAAATGGACGAAGTAAGGGAAATGGCCAGGTTTCGAATCTTCTCCGTTGATGACTCGGGGCGACGCAAACACTGAGGGAATGTTTGCTGCTACTGCAAGACAGGAAAAGAACTTGAGAGTGTTCATTTTCATCATGGTTCCTGTTGTTGATACTTCGAAAGCAAATACTTCCGATCAATATCGATGTTTGATATTTTGTGTTACTAAATATTACTACTAGTACCTTAATTTGCTTTTGTGTGCTGAAAGTGTGATTATCGTACGCAACGCGTATTCGAACTCCAAGAGGAATGAAACCATAAAATAATACCGTATGAGGAGTATTGCACTGGAATCATTGTACCGGTATCTCACTGAACATTTTGTAAAATCTTAGTTGGCACATACAAATGATTGCCACGCAAGCTTCTCTCGTGAAATCATAGTTGGCAAACACAAATGACTGCCACGGAAGTTTCTGCTATGACCCTTTTTCGTATTCAGATACACAATGATGGAATAAGATATCCAATCAAAATTGATTTTCAAATTGGTCCTTCTCCAAATCTCTCACTTTTCGGCAAATATTTCTGGATTGACAGTAGGCTCACCCGCTATCTACCTGTATCTACTCGTGATTTACTTGGTTTGCTTTTTGCTTGCTGACACAGAGGAACCATGTCGATTTCAATTTTTTGGAAAAAAACTAGATTCCCAGGCCCCCCTCTGGGTAACGAAAATTGTGATCAGTTTTGATCATAAAAAAATGTGATCAGAAATAACAAATTTGTGATCAGTTTTTTGTGATCAATCTTGATCACAAATTTGAACTGTCTTGTGTACATTTTCTACTAGTCCCGTTTTTATATAGGATTTTAATACCCTAATATAAATAATAACAGTATTTTTACACGTTTGTACTACTACTAATAGTACACCAGTCCTGTATTACCAAAATAGTAATATGCCCTATTAAGAATTAACGTGATGTGCTACTAATATGACCATTTATCACTGAATATATATTAATATATATATATTTATATCATGATATAAATCGAATATAAATATTCATGTGAGAATAAAGTACATCCGTTGGAAAAAATGTGATCAAAACTGATCACAAAAAATTGTGATCAAGAAATTCATCAATTTTGTGATCATTTCTGATCACATTTTTTTGTGATCAAAACCAATCACATAATGGAAAAAAGGGGACCGGAGAATTTAATTTTTTCGAAAAACATCGAAATCGACATGGTTCCAGGAAATCATTCGTGACTTGAGTTCCACGACCTAAGAGAATCATACCGGTACCGGTAGGAGGAAAAACTATCTTAGTAACAACAAACAGAACAT